ACTTCCACGTCTTTATCACGACTCGTTGGAGGTGTGGGGTTTAGGGTATTCAGGGTTCAGGCTCCCATTTTGATTTGATACCTCTAAACGTACGGTACCGTAATAGATTCTATAGCCAAAAGGGCCCTGTAATGTTGAGAACAACCCACACGGGCTTTGGATGGCTTGCATAGTCCAATCTGCTTTCTAGAAGCCTGGAGATTTCAGGTATGAATCATAGGGATGAGGATGTTACTCTAAACCCTAAAGCCACTGTTCTTGTGGAGGTTGGGTTGACAAGCAATTCCCGAAATTCAATTTCCACACGCCTCTCAAACCCGAAGCCGTAGACCCCAAGCATCAGCCCGAAGCCGTGAGCCATCAACCAACACATCACGCAAACCTCCGGGTACGTTAATGGAAACAACCCTGTAGGCGATCCCATATTAACCGATCCAACCTCCTTAAAACTTCATAGGACGCCATTGAACCCTATAGAACCCAAACCCTACACCCCTAAACCCTAAACCCTAAAGGCTACAATCTGAACCCCAAACCCTGAACCTACACCCTAAAACCTAAACCCTACAATCTAAACCCCAAACCCTAAACCTAAACCTTCAACCCTAAACCCTAAACCCTAAAACCGAAAACTTAAACCCTAAAACCTAAACCCTAAAACCTAAACCCTAAAACCTAAAACCTAAACCCCAAAACCTAAACCCTAAACCCCATCTGAAGCTCCAGGCGTTTGCGGCCTTGCAGGCACCGCCATCCTGGGTCCTCGCAAGGGACGTTTCGAAAACCCAGAGGACGGTTTAGGGGTTTAGGATTTCAGAGTTTATGGGTTTAGGGCTTGGGGTTTTGGGGTTGAGGGCTTTGGTGGTTTAGGGTGCAAGGGTTTGGCGTCTAGGGATTGGGGTTTTAGGGCGTTAGGGTTTCAGGCTTGATGGGTGTTTTAGGGCTTTAGGCCTCTAGGCCTTTAGGGTTTTTAGGGTTTTTAGGGTTTTTAGTGGTTTTAGGGTTTAAGGGTTTAGGGTCAAGGGATTGATGCTTTAGGGTTCAAGGGTCTAGGGTTTGAGGGCTTCAGGGTTTAGGGTAGGGGTTGCTGTTTGAGGTCAATCCCCCCAGTCCTAGCTCCTTAACCTGGAGCTAATAAGGTTTTAATATACCTACAATAATCCCTTGTGGTACCCATTATAGACCCTAAACCGTAACCCTAAACCCTAAACCCTTGGGGGATTGACCCAAGGTTGAGGATGAGCCTGAAGTGAAATATCGGCGTAGCACAGCTCTGGCCGACTTAAAAGAGTTGTTCAACGTTTTGGTGGTGCCAATTCTTAAGACTTGCAATAGACTTGCTTAGCGGGCACATTGTTTAAGTTGTAGTATACTATGATATACTATAATACTATCATATACTATGATATATCATAGTATGCTATAACAAATTATGATATGCTATCATGTATGATAATATCCCATAATAGAAAACGAGGAGCCCTGCGGTATCTTCTTTATAAGCTCGGGGCTTGAGCCGTTGCGAAATAAGAGAGCTTTGAAGAATTCTGGGGACTTCGAGGGGTTCATAGCATGAGGACCCCAAGGCGTCTGGGCCAGGTATGGGATTTGGACCCTAGACCCTAAACCCCACAACCTTAAACCTTAAACCCTAAACCCCAAAACCTTAACCCCTACACCCTAAGCCCACTAATCATATTTTTCAGCATGATCTGAGCATCTTGTGCTGACGGAGATCGGAATGTCCAAGCCGAAGGATCATGTTCTGCACAGCCAGGGCTGTGGGTTTAGGGTTTAGGGTCGACAGGGTTTACAGGGTTTATAGGGCTTATAGGGTTTATAGGGTTTATAGGGTTTACAGGGTTTAGGGCTTAGGGTCTCATAGAGCTTCACATGCTGGATCATGTCTGCATAGGAGTTCGAATATCACAACATCCCGCTGATTGTCCTCGGGACTTTCGCGCTGTGGTTCGGATGGTGTCGCGCTTGGATCGGGGTTGGTGTTTTGGGGTTGAGCCCCCAGCAAAGGCTGTAACGAAGCTACCCTTGCATCCAAAAAGCAAAACCATTCCTCATCGAGTATGAGAGTTAGGGCCTGTCGCGGACGTTCCTTGTTGAAGGCTGCTGCAAACTAATATACTATGATATACTGTAATTTACTAGATCATGCTTTCTCTGGGGTTCTTGTTAATTTAAGGGATTAGGGGCCGAGCTTGCAGTCACGCGTTCGGAGCTCCAGATGCTTAGGCTTCTTTTCTTCTGTACAAATATCAGCCATAGGCTAAACTCCTTAAAGGCATTATATATAGGGGATTATATCGGGGACTACTACAGGGGATACTAAGGCGGATACTAGGAGTTCCGACTATAGCTCATATACAAATATATATATATGTATATATGGATAATGTAGGGAAATAGTTATCAATGATTGACTCGCCCACTCCTTTTTTAATTGAAGTGTCTTGAGATCAGGGGGTTGGTCAGTCACGACGCTGGCCACCTTGGGACAGTGAGGTAAGAGTCCCCCTTAAGTAGATAGAATACGGGGTATTTGGAGATCTTGGTATGGTTTGGAGAAGTCCATATTCTATCTACTCAAGGGGGACTCTGATACTTTGAATGTAGGCGCGGCCAAGATGCGGAGAACATTTGGGGATGGCCAGGTTGACAAAAGAGTGGCGATGACCCAATAGTAATTACACCGTCCAGGTTGAAACGAAGCCTAGGTGTCCAAGTTGACCCTCTTAACCGCCAAGCCTTAGATTTCATGTTGCGAGCCTTGAACCCAACGTATGAGGCTTAGACCTTTAGTCTGAGCCCAGGGATCACGCTGCCCAATCCTAAACGTCAAGCCCCACAGGTACGGGTTCAACCCGGGCTCCACGCTTTCGATGCACGACAAGGACGAAATGGCTAGCCAATGGAAAAGCTTAAACCCAAATGGGTTTAGGGCTTAGGGTTTGAACCGAGACCTGAAGCATAGACCCGAAAACCGCAACCTTGTAAGCTTGAAGATATAGGAATCCTTAAGAACTTCGCCAGTAACGGTTTCCCAACGTGCACAGGGCATGAGCGCACCCCGGCAATTACACAAACTTCATGGAAGCCAAGTCTCGTGCTGGGCCTCCTCCAGGTGCAAACTTACCCGAATCTTAGTCCTCATTTCTGCACCTATCAGAAGCGCAAAAACACTCAACCCGGCATCCATCTACGCCCTGCAGCAGAGGCCCCCCACCCCAGCATTCTGGTGGCTTAAATGAGGGCCCCGAAGCCACAAGGATACAAATCATGACTTCTGAGCTTCAAGCCCAGTCTATATATCATCATTTTTATCATTCTCAAAATTAATCACATGCTCTATTCCTATTATCATTTCTAGTAGTACTAGACAGAGTTCAGGGTCAACACTGACATTCTGGCAGGAGATGGGTGCATTGGCAGCGCAAGTAGCCATGAACACCACGTCTCTCGGCCTGAGGTCTCGGCTGTTCGATCCGTTAACGTCTAGGTTTCTCAAGGGGCTCTACTAAGACCTTGTTGATGAATGCAAGCCCTGACTTGCTTTCAGGAACAGGGTGGAGCAGAAATAGAAGCAACAGAAGGTTGCCTGTTTAACCTTATTGCGGTGGGGAGGTTGTAGTAGTTTCCCATTCACAAACTGGACCGCCTCAAGAATGGTGTTTGTAATCATACAGGCGGCATCAGCCCCAAACCAAGTGTAGCACCCAATTTGTAATGGTTGGAGCACCTTGGTTGGGAATCATACGACAAAAAACGGGTCAGGATTGAGTCATGACGTGGTATTACATAGACGCCCCACACTGGTCTACCGTCAGCCCTAGCCCAAAACCCAAATGCTTCGCAATGGAGGTTCTTGGAAGGCAAAGCGGGGTCATGGATAGCAAGTCATGTCAACCAGCGCGAAGTCTTATTATTTACCGTATTTCGGGGGCCTCAGTTAAAACGAAGGAGTGCAATTGCTGCATGTATTGCGGAGCGCGAATCTTGACTTCGCGCACGAGTGCGGTAATGATTGAAAAGTACAATACCCTGAGGGGAATTATACAGAAATCCATGTTTTGCTATGGGAAACTGCCTTTTGCACAAAATGCTGCTTTGATGGGAAGGGTGTTTCGTGTGTAGATTCCTAGGGAATCGGTGAACGCACGGTAAAGCGCAGGGGAAAGTGACACTCGTGTTTTGGACCGTCAATCTTTCGCCGGCCCAGAGCGGGTTCTTTGAAGGCTTGCGCCGCGTACGCATCACGCACCGGCCACAAAACACTGGCCAACTTTCTTTTGAAAATGCCAAAGCCCTGCGTTTTACAGGTGATTGAGTATGTATCGGATAAAGCACAGTGCCGATAGTTGCAGGCCACATGCTTTCGTGACCCCTCATTTGGACTGAAAGCCTCCGCAGAGCTTTGCACGAACAAACCGTGCAAATCCAGCGTGCTTTTTCTTGGAAAGTTCTGCGGAGACTTTCGGGCCATCTGAGAGATCGCGGAGCATGTGACCTGACACACAAAGGAAATTGCCCACACGTCAGCATTGTGCTTTTTCCACTACACAATCAATCACCTGTAGAATGCAGGAGAAGAAAATTGGCCGGCGTTTTGTCGCCAAGCGACGCCTTCCAGAAGCGTTTGTTACAAACATTACTACCCCCCATTCCCAAAGCCCGGAGCTGAGCAGAAGCAGCCGCGGTTGACAACAGCCCCTTGTCGGAGAACCATCGTCGCAGAGCGAACCCAAGACCCTACACCCGCGAACCCTGAAGCTCTGAACCTTCAACCCTCGACCTCACGTGCAAAACCTCCCGGCCCTTACCTGGCAAGCCACAAAGATTTCACTCGCGCTTATCTGGGCTGCTGTCAAGGTACAATTATAATAAGTTAAGTTACCATAATAAGGAAACCCGATTATTTATCATATACTGATATTATGGTACCTTGATTTAAGGCGCTTACCAGCAAACCGTTTATTCACTCGATCTAGGCTCTCTGCGGCCACATGCGGCATCTCAGCAACTGGGCTAAATATGTGGTGGAGAGAACTCATCTGGCAGGGGTAGCTTATGAAAGGTACAGGGTGCAGGGCCAGGGTTTAGGGTTTAGGGTTCAGGGTTCAGGGCCTAGGACATCCTACAGCATGAGGTGAACGGGACCGCAACAGGGGCCAGAGTTTAAAAAGGGTCCGGGTGGGTGTAAAAATTTGGATTGAGGGTCCGAGGCCGGAGACGATTAACATAAATCCTAAACTCATGGGTTCCCCTAGTAACCCCCTATACTACACCCCCTAGTTTCCCCCTTAATGAAGGTTATTCAGGATATTTCAGGATAATTAGGCTTAATTAAGGTTAACTAAAGGGGAACCTAGCGGGGGTAGAAAAAAAGGAGGGTAGTGATGATAAACCCTAGACCCTTACGACGTTGAGATTGTAGCTCAAGGGTATCAACACAATGTCCCGATTTGCAGTTACTTTCAAGATTGTTGATCCAAAAACTCCTGCATGACCTGAGTATACTATAGTACCACAATTCCCAAAATCTTAGGCTAGTTGGGGTCATGCATGATTTTCAGTACTCGCCGTAGTATACGACTTCATGGGGTTTGGCTGGCGGGCATTGCAAGGCTATTTGCCTGCAGGTGCCCTTGCATCTAAGATGTTGATACACAGTTTGGCTTACTGGTTCTTAGTAGGGAATAAGGGAACATAATCGCCATACAAGCTCTGTATAGTGTCTTCCCATATTCCCTAAGGCGACACGGTCACAACAATGATAGCGTTTATGCAAGTTTAACGACCGTCAGAAGCAGCTGAACCCCACAAGTCACGGGCGGCATCAAAATCATGGAAACAGCGGGAAGGATTTAGTTCCACTGTCTATGACCTGGGGTTTGTCTTCTAGCTCTGAGTGTTCTCAATCTTTTTATCGATCCTCTGTGCCTCGCTCTGCTAGCGGGTATGCACTGGGTGTTAGAGGGTTACCCGGACTAAGTCTCAGGATTAGCCTGTTCCGGTGTTCCCTCCTTTTCGTGAGCAAGGGTGCTGTAGACGCCTTTCTGACCCTGTACACTCACCACCTAGAAGACGAGGATCCAGGTTCCGGGTTCCTCGGGTTTTCAACACAGGCTGGAGTATTGACTTTAGGATTTATGACAGGCTCAGGCTTTAGAAAGGTGTAGCGGATTTAGGGTGCAGCGTGTTCTTGCTTTCAACAGTTCAGTATTTTAGCAGCTAGGTCACAGGGTTAAGGGTGCAACGTCGTGGTGGTTCTTAAATTTGCCATTGCCTTTTCCAGGCTCCCAATCCTGAAGCTTCAAGCCCTATGCTTCAAGTGGGCACTGTACCTACTATATGGGAAGCGTATTCCTTTAGAAGGCTTTGTGTTACAACACATGGCAGTCCCTAGCCTAAAGAAGAAAACAGCCGAACGGCTGGCGGGGCTGCGGATCCTTGCTTCCAGGCCATTTGTAGGGACTTCCGACAACTGTGATGCGTTCGCTCAGGTGTTTGTAATTGAGCATCAGATCGGCCTCCCCCCCGCCCCCCCCCTGCATACACATTCGCGGCTTCGGGTTTGGGGTTTAACTTACAACAGGAGCCCATGAGCCAGAAGAACGCAGAAAAATCGCGAGGCTTCGAGAAACCTCATACAGTCCCTGCACTTGAACCTTTGCTAGGTCTTCATGCTGCAGTATATCCTCACCCACAAGTATGACGTCGGCGCCCTCTGCAACGGAATTCTTGCTGGGCTAGTGTCCATCACAGCTGGCTGTGGAAACATGGACACTTTGACTACATGGAAGTTTTTCGTCAACAAGAGGTCCTTCTTGGGGCAGGTGTCCTACGTTACGTGTCAGAATCCTCATACGTTAGCTACGTTTCTGGGATTTTTGCCCTGTTCTGAACTTACCACACCCTAAACCCTAAAGCCTAAACCCTAAACCCTACACCCTAAACCCGAAACCTCTAAGGACCCTAAACCCTAAACCCTATGCGTATCATCATTGGTTTTCAGTAGCGCTCAGATCTCGAGCTGCCCCTCACATGACTTGTTTTTTTGGCGCATGGCGCGGCTAAGGCCTATGTTTGTATATGGGGTTCTGTAGGGAGTCTATAGGGTTGTATGGGGGGTAGTATAGGGGTGATAAAGGGAGAATGGAAAAGAGCATGGAAACTAGTGTTTAGGGTATAGGGTTACCCAAAGTTAGGGGTACCTTTTTAGGGGGCCTTTATAATGAGGATCATCGTATTTTGAGTTCTATATTGGGGTCAACCCATTTTGGGAAACTACCATATGGGGTACAATTTAACTATTCGTGGGCAGTAGATGGCGGTAGAGTGATGGCACGGTTATTTTAGGAGGACTCCCTACTGTGATAGTGGTATAATACCGTGGGAATTTAACAGTGCCTAGCATAATTACCGTTATCCCTCATAGTCACTGTTGCCTGGTGGGGGTCCACCTAAGGTATACTGCATCAACTAGGAGCCATGCTCTCAACGCGTCCAAGTCTTGGTTGCTGACAATGTGTCAGCTAGTCCTATACGACATACACCTCTCTTGTTAATACCGTATGGGTAGTTACCGAAATTAGGGTCCCACTGTGGTACCCCTAGATATTAGGTGCCAAAATATAATCTATAGCCAAAAACGGGCTCATAATTTTGAGAACAACCCTTTTGATGCTGAAAGTTGACCAATGATAACATGTGCTGCAGAGGCAGGGGTGATTTCGGGAGAGGGTTGCTTTACTATGCCATCGGTCTAGGCCGAAGGTCTGCCGGCAGGGTGACAAGGAGATGTTTCATATCTTTTACACACGGACACCAATGACCAAGCCCAAGCTAGAAAACAGGAGCAAGTCCTAGAAACCATTTGCAATTTTATTTACGCCAGATGTCAGGGTGTTGGATTTCGATCTCTCTTAACTTTCTGAGGAGTGTGGAAGTGCGGTGCTTACTGGCTTCATTGGTGCCTTCTTCTACCAAGCGGCCCACATGCTCCTGGTGCGCCAGGGTTAGGGTTTGGTGTTCAATGGGTGAACAGGTTACAGGGTCAAGGAGTGATATTCTTTTGCCCTGAGGTTAGGGTTTGGGGTTTAGGGCTGTAGGGTTTAGGGCTTTAGGGTTTAGGGTGTATGGCTTAGGTTTAGGGTGGGCCGTTGGACTGACAGTTGAGGCTTTATGTGTCTACAGCCAGCATGGTAAGATCAAATTGCACCAATCGCAGCCTGCATACTTCAACAGAATCCCTATAAGCCTATAGTAGTATCCATTTTCTTTTCCATTATCTCTATATAACCCCTATAGAACCCCTAAATAAACTCTGTATAAACCCTTTTGACCGGCGGTGGCTCCTTCAAGTCAGGCAAATCAGCCTGAACTTTGAGGACCTGAGCCCTAAGCGGATGGCATCAACAATCTGGGTCATATGAGCTATAGTCTAAATTCTTTAAAGAGGGGGGTTATATAAGGAAATTTATAGGGTTATGTAGGGATATGTAGGGTTTAGGGTTTAGGGTTTAAACTCCTTGAAGGAGGGGTTATATAGGGGAGTAGATAGGGGAGCTTCATGTGGCTGATAAAGGGGGATGCTAGGAGTTTAGACAAAGTTCGTATGGACAGGGGTGCTTCTACTTGAGACGAAAGCCCTCGCCAGGTGAAGTGCAAGATTGACGACCCTGTGGATGCAAGTGCTGTGCATGGCGCATGCGGCTTCTGGGGGTGCCTTGCCAAAGGATTCCTACTCATTTCAGCTATAGTCAAAACTATTATAGGGGTTATTAAGGGGGATACTAGGAGTTTAGACTATAGCTCATTTAGCTTTAGTAACCTTCAGTTCCTTGCAGGTCTCCTTGGGGAAATCCTTCATGGATCATGGCAGGGAAGATATGGCATGTAGACGGAATCAGGCCCCAAGTCAGACATAGCCCCTAGGGTTTGGGAGGGTTTAGGGTTTCGGGTAAGTTTAAGCCCTAGGAGCGACTGACAGATGAGCTCACCAGCCTATACCAGTCGCTGTCCCCAATATGGCCGTCAGTATTGGCAAGGACTTTGTGTAGATGCCTGTGGGCACATAATTTGGCACAGACCTTTGTTCTACTGAAACTCCAAAACTTCAGCTCAAAACACTGTCTATCCCACTCTCCGCAGATAGTGCCCTCTGTAGACCATGCCTGATCCGGTACATGTAGTTTCTCAAAATGAGGGGACCCCAATCTAGACCTCCAAATACTATAACCGCTATTATGGGGACTCCCACAATGGCGGCCCTAATTTTTGGAAACCCTGAGCCCTAAATCCTAATCCCTAAACCGTAAACCAGACATATCCTTATATAACCCGTTATATCCCTACATCACCCTCTATATCCCCTAGCCCCTACTTTGGAAACCTCCATCCCTGAGCTATCCCCCAAATCTTCAACAGTGAGCCCTTTTCTACCCTAAGCCTTAAAGCCAGAAACCATAACACCCTAAAACACTAAACCCTAAATCCAGCAGGGGACCCCTAAACCCTACACCTTCATCTTTAACAGTAAGCCCTTTTCTGCAGACCTCCCCTTGCACATCCTGAATTCTAGATGCTAAACCTTAGAAGCCTGAAACCCTAAATGCAGTGGAGGCTCCAAAGCAATGATACAGTGGATACTTAAAATCCTGCATGACCTCGAATACTTCATACCTCAGGAATTATGGTATTTTGGTACATCAAGGTCATGCAGGATTTTTAGTATCAAAAGTGGTACAAGCAGAGGGTCTGACAATCTCATGGTTGGGCGGAGGTCTCTGTAGCAAGGACTTAGGGTTTAGGGTTTAGGAATACTTGGAGGCGCGTACTGCCGAAGATACTGCCGAAGATCACCTTAGTCTCTGTGGTTCTAGCCTGTTTGGAAGCATGATTTGTAGACTTAGAAAACCTATTGGAAATGGTGCTAGGGGGCTTATGGTAAATCACTGACTAGACTTTCAAAACAAGCTATAATTAACTTGCCTGCCGAAGTATTTGCGTAGTCGTCCAATAGTATGCCACTCTGATGAGACCTAAGCCCTAGACCGTAAACTTCAATTCCAACGCCATGCTAATCTCTTTAGAATCCAATTCAGATCCACAGCAACCCCCCAAACCCAAGACTGTTTATTGCAAACCTAGCAACCGCACAACCTTACCCTACACCCTCATGCGTACACCCGCTGAAAGGTAGTTTCCCAAAATAAGGGGACCCCAATATAGACCCCAATATACTATAATCCTTATTATGGGGACCCCCAAAAAAGGTACCCATAATTTTTGGAAACCTCCCAAATCCGAATCGAAGCATCGAAAACCCAGTCTAGGCTCCTTGCAGCCGGCCTGTTCGACTGGGGTAGCTTGGGCTTCTCCTCTGGGGGGTTTGGGGTTTTAGGCTTGAGGGCGTTGGGAAAGGAGATGTAGGGGTTATATAGGGGTTATATAGGGTTTAGGGTTTTGGGGTGAGAGCACTTTAGTTTGGTAGGGAGTTGGACGAGGACTAAAGGGAGCTGATAAGGGGCTGAAAGCCTTGCAGTGCAGTGGTTTTGTGGTTATGCTGCGTACTCAGGCTCGCATGAAGGATGTGAAATCAGGGTATCCGCGCCTTTTACTCTATCGCAGCCATTGGTCATATAAATTGTTTGTTTACTACCAATTGTCGCCAGGATGCCTTTTTCCGTTTTTCTTCTTCATCCTATCCCTTGTTTCGACTGTCCCTTCTCATTCTCTTCTTGTCTTTCGACCTGTTCCCATACCCATGCTTGCCTTCATTGGCACAGCTATCTGGACTATGGCTTCTTCAACTGCTGCTACTGCAGGGGCTGCCGCCAATCTTACCGCAGCTATGACTGCTTACCTGGAGGGTCAGGGGGACTTGGTAAGTGGATTGATAATGGGGATAATTAGGCTTACTACATGGGTTATAGGGGGTTACTAACCCACTTACTAAATCCCCCTGACCCTCCAAGTATGTGTTAAGCGAGCCGTTGGGAGCAGATCTGAAAGGCTGATTCATGAGCACTAGCATCGAGTTGTCCCCGCCCAAGGCCTAAATCTCTATCACCTCGCTAGCCTGAAAACTCAAATTAGGCTCCTTTCAGGTTTAGGGTTTAGGGTTTAGGGGTTTGGGGTTCACACCTGCCCTCCCATTTTCGAGACCCTGGTGCAGGCAAGGGCATCGATCACTACCACGGCTGGAGCGGTTTCGGTTGCATGACGGGCGAGGACCCAGGGTTTTGCTAAAACCGTAAACCTTAAACCATCAACCTGAAGCCCAAAACCCAAAACCCTAAACCCCTAAACCCCTAACCCCTAAACCCCTAAACCCTAAAACCCTAAACCCTAAACCCAAAACCATTAAGTGAGGCTGATAGGTCTGGAAGCTGCGCAGAGTAGGGCTTCGTTTTTCATGTTGGACCGCAACGGGGAGCATTCCTTCTGATAACCCCCCTATTAGCTATAGTCTCAACTTGGAGGGTTATATAGGGGAGTGTTATAGGGGTTATCAAGGGGGATACTGCCTAGGAGTTTAGATCATGGCTTATATGTAGCTCTTTGGAATTCTGTTTGTTGGGGCTTCATACGGTTTGTAAAGGATTATAATAGTACCCCTAAAGGTACCCTCCCAGATTTGGAATTCCATCAGGCCCCATTAAGCCCTATATAGTCCTTATGAGCTCCTTGAAGCGGAGGGGCGGGGTACGGTACATTTGGGGGGTGTACCATTGTAACCCCTCAGTTTGGGGTTGGGGTCTAAGTGCAACCCATTACTCTAGGAAGACATTTCCCTCTGAAACCTGAACTCACCGTCCCGGCGCCTTTTTTT